CCCCAAAACCCCAAAACCCCAAAACCCCAAAACCCCATACTTATCAGCATTATTGAAAGTTTATAGCATGAATATCTTCCTCAAATTGAGTTTTGGTAACTTACCAATTGCAGAATTTATTTATCAAAAATAAATTTATTCCCGAAATCGAAGAAATCTATTGGAGGCGATATTTTTATATCTGCAGGTGGACTCTTGGGTTTTGTGGGTTGATTTTTAAGCTTTACAGCCTATAATTTGTAACAGAATACTTACTTTGAGTTTTCTTTTAGGCTTATCTGTATTTGGCTCTAAAACATGAAGTCTGTGCAACTTGACTTACTTTTATGATTCTGTCAATTTCACCACTGACCATGATGAGTGCGAGATGCTTTAATATTTTTCTTAAATTTTTTAGTATGGACTTTCTTTACTGCTCTAATAGCTTTATTTTACTTCTTGTAACTGTCTTCTCTTATTCCTGGTAGCGCTAAAAATGCCCTTCTCTTTTGTAGAAGTCTTTTGGCTAAAGATGAATTTAAGTTTGTACCTTTGAGAGATTTTGATATCTTTCTGATAATTATAGTCAATCTGTGTAGCTTCAGGGGATTTTAAATTCTTCTTAAGTTCCCAAGATCTCATATTAACAATATTTTTAGGTTGACAGAAGTTGCCGCTTTGAATTGTAACAGCACTACTCTCCTTCTGTATCTTACTCTCTTGAGAATTTGATTTTTGTAGAGTAGAATCTGCACTTGGTGTTACTGAAGAATATATGTTCTTTGCTTCAAATCTGGAAATAATTAGAGTTTTTCGTGGAAGTCTTTGGTCCTCTCAAGACTTCTCTATTGTCTTCTTCTGTAATAAACCTTCGAGAAATGGCAATGAGATCTTATCCGGAATGTTATAATCCTATTACTTAAAATTCTGGATTACCTTAAAAATAGATTTTGTTTTATTAGCAGCCATATTTATAGTCTTTATCTTATTTTCTGAACTATTTTCTGCTGGAGTAATCTTTCTTGTTCTAAAGCAATACTTAAGACTAGATTTTACATGGCTTATCTTAGAGAATAGTCCAATATTTGAATCGGTTAGCATCATTTTGGTAAAATCGCTACTTGCTTTCAGATCAGAGAATTTCCTGTTGCTACCGTATGGATTTCTTCTTCTACTAGAAGTATCGTTTCTATAAAGATATCTTGTTGTGCTACCTCTTTATTCCTACTTTATTATAACTCAGAGTATTTTTGAGTTTCGGTGTTGAGTCTAACTGCTATTTGAGACTTTATTGGTTTACCTTCTTCTGTGTATTTTCATTCCATGCCAGCATTGGTTGCATGTTAGTATTTTTGAAATTTATCCTTGCATTTACATTAAATCTAATTAACAGAGAGAATGATTAGACATGCTTTAGTATAAAAGAATTGTAGTGAATTACTTTTGAGAATTTCTGATAAATGGTCTTTGAGATTTAGATTTTTCCTGCTTGTAAAGCTCTTCTTTCTTCACTAATTTATCATTTTTCTTCTTCAGAAGATAGTTATTATGATTAGGAATTCGGAAAGCTTTTGTATCCTTCCGATTAACATTGTACTTGGGTTGATAAAACTGGTATTTAAACTCCATTTAAGTCAATATTATATATTATTGAGGGGTTTTGGGGTTTTGGGGTTTTGGGG